CACACAAACACACACAATTGCACTCACATAGTTATGAATGTATGATATGCCTTGGGGAAACACCATTTAAGTTTTATTATATTAACAGGAATGCCTCAAGTAGTGTTGTTTCCAAATTTGACCAAACTCCTAAATTCTGCCCACACGTGGCTCATACATCCACAGTTGTGTTCAGAATTTAAAGGTTCAGTCACCTGTTTATCATTGGATGATTTTCTGTTGGAAATCCCTGTGATAGATGTTAATAGCTATATATATATATATATATATACTGTATGTGTGAAGGGGTTTTGAGCATTTTATTTTCAAACTAAAATGAGACTTTAAAGAAAGATGATTACTCCTGTAAAACATTGTATAAATTTCCCTCTAATTAATTCCACACTCTGCTCTGCAGTGACGGTTGTCATGGGTAAACAGAGTTGGATTTCGACTAACCAGGGCAAGAATTGACCAGGGTGACCTCTGACCTTTTGAACTCTACTAACCCTCCACTTTGACCTCTGTCTGATTACTGGCCTCGCGGCTCTCCCTACCCTCTGAGGTGTCGTGTCTTCATGCTGATTCGTTCAGTTTTATTTTTTACATATATTTTTTTTTAAATACATATTTGGTCATTTGTTTATCTGTTGCCATGGCAATGGTTTGTGGTTTAGTTGCGCAGCGCTTGAATGAAGAGTGCGTTCAAAAACCGTCAATGGAGCGGACTCACTCTGAGGGAACAAGCCATCGCACAAGACACCACAAACGCCACAACACCGCCTGGCGTCACACTGTCCAGCTTACGCACAGATATTATTTCATGTTTTATACTGTCTGTCAGATAACTCTGAAACTGTATTGTTGCGTTTGTTTAGTTTTTTTGTTTTTGTTTTTCAGTCTGTTAAACACTGTTCCTCCGTGTGATTTCGAACAATGTATCCATGGTGAAGATGGATATTTGATAGTTGCTGCTGACTGAACTTCGGTTTCTGATCAGACTGGTTTTCACTGCCAGGCTAATTAAGATTTGACAGGGCTTACTTTTCATCTTTCATCTTTCACTGCAAAAATCTGCCATTTTCTTCATGTTACAACATATACAGCATGTCAGCGTGGTTGTAATCTGGAGGAAATGCGTTCTTTTGTGTGTAACCCGACCTTTTGGAATCCCTTTTTTGGCCATGCTGTTGAAAAGTTACTAGTCTTGTCTATCTGCAAGCACTCCAGTATCTGTCGACATAGGACAGGAAAGCTACGCTCAAGAGTTTCACAATTCAAGCTTGGCCTGACTGTAACCTAAATGATCAATGTGGAGCCAAGACTGTGTTCTTTTTCACCAATATTTTTAAACTTCGTCTCAAGCAAGGATCTTAGCCCACAAAGTCTGCTGGGGCACTGGTTTACATGTCATGGCTCACTTTTTAACAGGTGCACCCAGTCAACTAAACCACCGGTCCGATGTCTGTGTCTCAATGAAGGAAAGTTGTTCAAATTAACCAGGATAACAACTTTTGGGAAGGCCTTGTACTTGCCTCGTAAACGGCAAGCTCAATTGGGAGTTACGTTTCAACATGAAGTCTGAATGCTAATCATCTCGTATAAGGTAGATCGCTGCAATAGAAATGTGAGGATACTTTAAAACGACATAGGACATTAGATACACTGGGGAAGGGGGAAAAAAACATGGATTTTTGTGGATCATTTTTACCACTTCTCCAAAAGTTTTGTAAATTTGTTATTGAGCAACACTGAACATTTAGACCACAGCCTTGTAGTGTCCCTGCAGTGCTGTCACGACTGGGAGAAACAACATAAGATCCAACTCTACTGCCATAATACCCAGTAAAGTAGCCTTTTGGTTTGCTGTACTCCTGCTCTGCAACTGGGAGAAGCTTGTATGCAGTCATAAGCACATTATAATAGTTGTAATTTGATTTGGCACGTTGTTAATGAAGCCCCACATCTGTGACTTTGAGACCGTAGATTGTAGTGACGTGAGAACAACTGTGACTGAGATTTTGCCACCTAAACGGTAAACTGTTTTTTTTCTGGTAGGTACATGCACTGTTAGGGTATGTGCAGATCCATGTGTACGTGTCTGTTAGTGTATGGGTGTATACTCTGTATGTGTGGATATCTGTGTAAATACATATATTATTTCCTCATTTTATTTTTTAAACTACAAATAGGATTGTTTTTTTGTTTTTTTCGGTAGGCTGATTTCTAAAACACATGTGGCTGGTAACTTTTTTTTTTTTAGACCAGGGGGATGATGCCAATCAGCAGCGTTCTTCTTCTCAGCTCCAAATTCTGCAACGCTACAGAACTTTTTAAAATAATTCTCATCTCTGCTGCTCCACTGTTTGATTGGATCTGGTCTTTTTCTCCAGGATAGTTGGGAGAGGGGGACAGGCTCTGGGTGTGAAGAACTCCAGCCCAGCCTGCAAACACTACAAACAATGCTAAATGCAACAAGGGATTTCATATCATACTACTAGAAAAATGCAAGCTGGGTGAGAAAAATTGTGCCATTCAACAAAACAGAAAATAGAAGATAAGAACAAGTGAAATTCTCACCCAGCTGGCAGATTCATTCATCGCTTTATTTAGGATAAAAATTTTCAGAGCTAATTTTTCAGGCATTTTTTGTAGTGTGCTCCTCGGCTTCACTCACCACTTTCTAGGAAAACGGTCTTAATCCCCCCTGGATCAATGAACCAAGTTGTTCAAATTGTGACTAAGTTGTTATATAATGCTGCCCTGGCAAACACTCCAGGGCTTCAGTGTGGCTACTTGATGTTGTATTTAACCAGTGAATGAAAGGACTGTCCAGAAACAAATAAAAGTGGATTTTCGTTAACCACTTCACTGTGTCGTGGCCAGAAACTTGAACTTTTATGAGCCAACGTTCCTTTAATATCCACTAGGGATCAGCAGAGAGCAGCGTTGAGCCTCGTGTACTCAATAGTTTGACTGGTGAAGCATTTACATCTAAAGTAATTCTGTTCTTCACTGTAAATGTCGCATGTACAAAGGTTTTAACAGGCCATGGCCTCTGGGCCTTGTTTCTAGTGACCCTTTTTTAATTAAGTGGGAGGTAGTTAGATTTAACTTAATCCAGTTTTTCTCCACTGCTTACACACATTTCTTACAAAAGCCTCAAGTTCTGTATCATCATACCAGGATCACAGGCAACTAACTTTTCTTTTCACACACTCAACAACCTCACAAACACACACACACACATCCATACAAAAACATGGCAATACACGCTCTAAACACAGCAGGGAACTGTGTGCAGGAAAAAATTTTCATGAAAAACATTCAAGGACAGCAACATTTGTGTTTTTCCATTTCAAAGCAGAGGTAATCGAAATAGAAGTAGAATACAAACCAGACGGAAATTACAAAAAGCTTTGCCATGTTCTTTTTATTAGGTCACCCACACTTTAGTTTTCACAGTACCTGTATGTTACTGTATCTAGAAATGAAATGATCAGACCCTTCTTGTGAGACAGTGACAGTAAGGCAGAGGATGGACTGTATTATCACGCTCCTTTTACGGCCTGCAAACCCAGCAGGCTAGAAACCAAAATAAGTTCATCCTCAACTCGGTGCATAAATTCAAGTGATATTTGTCTCATTCTTGTGACTTTTTCCTGCAAAGTAACCAGTTTTCACTACAGAGATAAACATCCCTGCTTTCTGTCAGCCTGCTGTAAAGCATCACCACCTGCTGAGGTGTTGTTTAAGAAAAACTAAGGGAAGACCAACACACCAGACTAACACATTCAGGTGTAGAGACTTTGTTGTTCTCCGTTTGCCCACAAGGAAGTTCCTGTAGATTCTCCTTAGTTAACGCCTTCAATCTGAACCTTTCCTCTAATGGTTCCTCTAATGGTTCCCTCATATTAAGCAGCCATTTAATCAGTTAGCTACCTATTGGAAATTGAAAAATGCTTTGTCTGCATACATACATATTAGTGCTTACTGTGTACTTAGCTTGAACTTCAGCTTCAGCCATTTGAAGGCCACGTCCCTCCCAAATCCAGTTCAGTTTATCTCTGAATTTTTAATTGTTATGTCTTGAGAAATAACCTTTATGGGTAAAACCTAACCTACAACCTGCTTGCTTGCATCACACCAGCTGTGCAGTCAGGTATAATCACAGAGGTGAAATCGGCTGCTGGCCTGATATTGCTAACTTGCTGGGTACTTTATTACAGAACATGATGCTGCATCAGAATACTACAAATCAACACGATTAACAAGAAACATATTGTATATATGTGTATTACTGATGGTTTTGTAGTGAGAGTGCAATGGTTAAAATGTGTTAAGTGCTGTGCAGAACTGGTTAAGGGGTACATACAGCTATAGAGAAGAACTGTAATAGAAAAA